AAATTTTAAGTAATTACATTTAATTTTAATTTTAATCTTATTTATTATTAAATTTTACATTAATGATTATTTAGTAAACTTGTTAATTTAATGGACATCGACATATGAATGCGAATTGACTTATTCAAATACACATTATTACAGTTCAAATTACGACGAAAAAAACTGTAAATTCACACAATTTAATATTCAATTTTGTATTTAACGGTAATTATTATATATATTTTATATATTGTCTTATCATTAATGTAGTTGAAAAAATTCCAAACTAAAAGGATTGAAACGTCTATTTCAATTATCATATACAATAAAACGTAATTGCAATAACATCCAATATCTCTCAAAGGTGTTTTATGGCTTATTGATCTTCTGTAAATATTTTGCATTTGCACATACATCACGTGGTTTTTCTTTTAAGTTAGATTTATATAAAAGAAAGCGATTCATTTATAATTTAGTAAATCAAGTATCATAACTGTGGAAACAATGTCTCAGTTAAATCGTATCGTATTAATCATTGCTATGAACGTACTGGTGTACGTTCTTGCAGTGGAGTGCTATTCCGATGAATTTGATAATGTTCTTGATATTGACGCTGTTCTCAATAACGACACTCTACGTGAAGGATATCACAACTGCTACATGAAAACAGCACCATGTACAAAAGCACAAAAGGATTTAACAGGTACCTATGTGTATAATACTACTATATAGATGTATATATAGTATGTATTATATAGAATTATTTTTTCTTGTTTTGTGACAGAGAAAATTTCTGTTTGACCAATACGAAATCGATTTTTCTTTAACGTCTACGTATCTACAGTTTTCAAATAATCTACAATGTAAAAAGGAAATTAGCGGAATTAAATAAGGAATTACTAAATTCCAAAAACGAAAAGAAATGATAAAATATTAGGTCGGGGAAAAAGTTTCGTATTATTTTTGTTTAAATTTTTTTGCAAAAGATTTTCATTTGTTGCGAAATTTTCGTTACAATTATATAATATTATTCGCTAGAGCAAAGTTTCAGTTTTAAGAATCTGTTTTTTAAATTACAGTTTGATGATTTTTATCGGAGTTATGAGCAATCAAAGTCAGAATGCTCTTTTACATAACTTGCGAATAACTCAGGAACAAAAAATCATAGAAACATTAAAAAAAAAATGATTTTGTAGAAAGGCTTCAAGCTTTTAGGATAGGCAGTCGACAATTTTAATAATTTTTTTTGGGCACCTTTTTTTTGAGAGACCTCCAAAGTAAAAAGAAAATTTTTTTTTTCAGCTTGTAGTTTTTTAAATGTAAAAATTACCAAACTCAAAAAATATAGCCTTTCGAAAGTAGAGATTTCAAGCTATAAAACTCTTTTTTAAATTTAAATTTCGTTCATTTTTGACAAAGATATTGTATAAACAATTTTGAATTAAAAAATATGAAGAAACTTTTTCCTCAATAAGATTTGCAAGTTTTTTCAAACTTTAACAGAATTTTGATTTATTGCTCAATTGTAAATATATATGAGATATTCGATTTAATATGTATATTTCGGAACCTAATGT